TATATATAACAAAATCTTATGAAATAGTGATTATTACAAATTCTATAAGGATGAAATGAACTACAGAGAGGTCACATAATTTATGTACAGTGGACACATCTATAGCTGACAGAAAAAGAATGGAAGTAACTTATTAAACTCCTGTGCATCACAGGAATAGTGCTGTGCCATGAGCAGTTCCAGCAGAAACATTCCTTAGCAGAGAGCCTGCTGTGTATAAGATAGGCCACCATGAAGTCAGAGATTGGCCCACCAGCTCATCCCAGGGTTTATTGCATGTGCTATTTTAATAAGACTAAGACTATTCAGTTTGCTTTGGGTCACATCTATAGAACCAACTGTCATGATCTGAGACATGGGCACTGGTGTCTGCAGAGTTCTGGACAGTCTGAGGCTCAGGTCAAGTTCCTCCTGGAGTAATCAGGTTCACGTCACTGTCATTGCAGCCAGTGTCCAGAGACACCTGAACTGAGACGGCAAGTGAGTGAACAGGTTTTTGAAACCAACTGCCTTGGATTGAGATGCTTACCTCAGACAGTTCTTTACTTTGCTAAACTTCAGGCATCCATTCACATAGTAGGGCAGTAGCAGCCACCTCTCACCTCACTTTGTGCTACACAGGTAGTGCCTGCAACAACCTAGCAGGTTCTCTTTCTGTCAGGCTGTCTGCTGGGGAGCTGCCTGAGGAGGAAGACAGCTCCTGTGTGAGTTCTTCTATTATTCATGCAGCTTAGTTTGCACTTCACAGGAGGACAACTTCTGGGGGTGGGGCAGGGGAATGATTCTCTTTGTCTTTGGGGAACAGATGTTCCTAAGGGTCAGGTGGAACTGAAAAAAGAAAGCCAGGAAGTGGGGCTGAGTATTGGCATCTGAGCAGGAACAGTGCAGGCTTTTCTGGATTTTGGCTTCCTTAAATGCTCCCAGAGGCCAAGGACATTGTTCAATCTAATTTAGACGCTGAAGCTTCATTGAGCAAATAGCAAAACCCATCTTGAGTGGGTTCATTACTGTTACGTCAGTTCTATTTAGTTAATGTTGCATTTTCTAAAATCGTATTTTCCATAGAGTAATTATGAGTCAAAGACAAAAGGAAGAGAATGTAAACTAATCAGTGCCCACATAATAAATGACACACCTAAACAAAGGCTTATGGGCTGAGCGATGGCCAAGGCAGCAAGCTTTCCAAGCTTGGGTTCTGAGTGAGCATTGCTTATGCTGACAGCTACTTTCTTGGTTCCCTTTAGTCGTTAGACAGAGTTAAAGAAGAGAGCTTACTGTAGCTGGACATGGGGGTCTGTGGTCCCTATGGTGCTATGCTTCTGTTTCCTGGACATCAGCAGTATGTCCTGCCTTTTGAGTCTTCACCAGGGACTCAGCTGCAAGGGTTTAGTGATCTGGATAGCTTGGTTCCTTCGTGCCCCTAGAGGATCACAGAGCACACTCACACATGAGCCCTGCCTGCTAACTGTAATGGGAGCTGGGGGTGGCTCTGAGGTGATTCAGTTCACATTGGAGACCCTGACAGTTCTGCTCTGACTTTGTAGTTTCTCAAATTTAGGCCATCAAGGCTTCAGTCATTTCTCAAAGTCATACACCAAACTAGGCCATTCCACTTGGCTGAGTAAACCACTTTAATGGAATTTTACTGGATACAAAAGGAGTGTGCAATGGTCACCTTTTCCTTGGCACTTTTATGTGCTGGCTTCGGATGGTTGTTTTCTATATGTCCTCTTCAGTACCTCTTGGAGAAGGTACCACCATTACTATTAAAAGCAGCTTTATCTGTTACAGAAATAAAGAAGTGAACCTCAGCTGAAGTCTTGGAAGCAAACTTCCATGTATTCATTTCCTCTGTGCATGCCTTTGGGGTGGCTTTGGGAAATCATCTGCCTTCAGAAACCTTTGTTATCTCATCAGTAAGATTTGTCTACTTCCTAGATGCCTCTCATAGTTACCAGCCATAACAGACTACATGGCACCTTCAAACATTTCAGACTACACTGGCATCATCCTTGTGACAATTGGGTTGAGCTCAGAGAGGTGACAAGCCATGAGAGGTCCTCCTTTCCATGTACCCCTGAGTCTCTTCTAAACAATGATGATATTCTGTATGTGTTCAGCCTTAAGAGTGAACCTTGTCAGGCACACCTTTCTGGTGACACTTGAAGAATTTCTGTAACCTGTCTTCATAGTGAACATGGAGTTTATTGATATTCTGAAACCAACCTTAGTCTGGTACACATTCATGCAGTCACTGAGGAAGCCAACCAGAAGCAGCAATCCTGCAGGTCCTGAAGACCCTGGACTGGACACCTTGATTCACTTGTCATCTACATAAGCTGAAAGATGTGTGAGGACCCTAGAGGCAAACTCAGATAGGTGTGAGGAATACATCCCATCCAAAATCTTAATGGAAATATGAATAATTCTGTACTCCTCCATGGGACTGCTACCATACAAGATGACCTCAGGGTTCTCTCAGCTTCCTGGTATGCTGTGAGTGTTGGTACAGCCATCACTACATACTGCTTTCATGATGTGTCCCCAAGTTTCCTCTGATCCTGTGCAGGTGCCCCTCTCTTTAGTTGGTAGAGTACTTGTCTAGCATGTACAGACCACGTCAAAGCAAGTGCCTCTCAGGCTCCGTGGAATGCCTGTGGGGGTTTTAGGAAGGCCATGTGCTATAGATAGCATCAGGGTGTCATTCATGGGAAGAGTAGGAATTGAGGGCCAGAGGCAGAGTTCAGCTTTAAGAAGGCTCAAGGCATGGTGGTTTATTTATTGGCTGCTTAGAGATCTCAAATATCCCTTTGGAAAAGGATCCAAGCTGGCTTGGGAGGGTCAGACTTTTAATACTTCCCATCTCTAAACTTAAACACAGGATAGTCATGAATGTGTATCTTTCCAGAAGATACATGAACTGAGCCAATTCATTGTAGACCAGGATATCCCTAACAATTCTATCCACCAATGTCTCAAGTCCTAAGCAGCTCTCTAGCTGTATAATGAAGGTCAAGCAGGGTGGCATCAAGTCTTTGAAATCTATTACATGTGTCAAGAAGATTTTGGAGGGGAGGGGCTGGAGATGTAACTCAAAGAGTACTTGAGTATTATGTAAAATGGCCTGAGTTAGGTCCTCAGAACTACAAAAACTGGCATAGTGGTGTAAGCTTGCAATCCTAGCTTATTGGCTCTGGAGACAGGAAGGTGAGAAGTTTAAGGTCATCACTGAGTTGAAAGCTAGCCTGGGTTATATGAGATCTTTGCTCAGGACAAAATAAGAGAAGAAGGAAAAAACAAAGAAAGGAAGGAAAGAAAGAAGGAAGGAAAGGAAAGGAAAGGAAAGGAAAGGAAAGGAAAGGAAAGGAAAGGAACTTTTTATGCAGAGTCTTTCAATGATGCCCTGGCTGGCCTGGAACTACTTACCATGTAAACCAGACTGAACTTAGATTTGCAACAATCCTACTGCCTCAGTCTTTTGAATGCTGGGATCGCAGATATATATCATTGAACATAGCTCTTACATCTGATTAGTTTAGAGTCTTGACCTTTGATTTTTAACTGTGCCAAACCAAACCAAACTGTATGAGTCCCTGTGCACGTGCATGCATGCTTGTGCTCGCACATACACACAAATGCACCCAAGTGCCATTCTACAGTCTGAGAGCATTCTATGTGAAGGAAGCCATGTGGTGGTGGGACAGCTGTTCTATTTTATTCCCTTCCTTAGATCAAATGAGAAATTGCATGGAAATAATTTTTAAACCATAAAATACTGTATGTATATCAAGTGTGTCTATAAATGCACACATATTTATACACAAGAACGAGAGCTGATCCCCTAGGAGTCCTAACATCATGTGCCTCCTATTAAAGACTTGGCATTTCTTGAGGGTTCTGGAGGGTGGGAATACACATATGTATTATAAGTCATTAGTGTATTTTGTTAATGTTTCATAGAAACAAACAGTCACACACATACATGCACACAGGCTACTGGTCCCTTTGGAGGACGTTTGCTCAAGAGTCTGAGCTTGGCTGGGCCCATGCTGTGTCTCGGGGCAGCCGTGCACAGGTGTGAGTGTGGGCAGGAACTGATCTTCTAACTAAGGGAGAAAATGATAAAGCAAAGATCACAAAAACAACTTTGTTTGATCTTGGTTCCAAAAGAATAGCTTGAGCAGAAGAGGGTGAAAGTGGGATGCTTGGGTTGTTTAAGCAATGCTGGGAGAGGAGAAAGGGGTCCAGAGAATCTAAAGGAGAATCTGAAGCAGAGGAAGGGCTTGGCAATGCCCGCCTCTCACCACGACCAGGCTGGTGTTTGGCTCACAGAGTCTCATCTCCGGAAACTGCACACATTAGCGTCGGTGCAGAGCTCCTGAAAGGTGTTAGGAACCTGCTTCTGCACACAACAACTGCTGAAGCCCTTTGCTCAACGCAAACCCACAGGCCTCTGCTGCAGTTTGTTTCTTTCACCTTCCCACTCTTGAGGCTCCACACAGCAAAGACTGGAGCTCAGCAACCAGTTTTGCCATTGGTGGCTCAGCTTCTGTGAGCTAAAATCCACTTCTGTTTTGTTGTCAAACTGTAATCGGCTTTTCTGCTGAGCTGATGGGAGAGACAGGAGAGGGCTGAAATGGGCTGTCTTACTGGGAAAACAGGGGTGTGGGGGGTAGGCAATGGGATAAAAAGCCTTCCCTGGGCAGAAAGTGAGAAAACAGCCAAGGGCTTTCCATGACCTCTGAAAGCCTCTTCTGCCTGCAAACTTTGAGCCCCAATCTCTCTAATCAATTAGCTAACTAGCTCCCCCTTTTGACATTTTCTTACAGATTAAAAAGTGTACAGTGCCTTGAAGCAGGCTGTGCTAAGCTAGGACATAGATCCCTGCTGCTGTTAGGAATAACAACACAGGGATACAGTAAACCCCATCTCCATGCAGCGAGCAGCTGTCATCCTCTTAATGACACGTGATGCTTCAGAGTCATTTTCTTTTATTTAAGGATATTTTGAAAGAGCTTGTAAAGAGAAGGTGACAGCCACCTGAAGAACTAGTGAAAAGTCACCTCTGACTTACAGAATTGAAGTCAGCACTCATCTGATCACAGATACCAGTAAGACCCCACCACACCCATTTATTTTGCCTGCTGCTGACGTCCTTACATTATTTACTCTGAGTTTGAAAATTAATTTAATTTTTTTTTTTTTTACTTTTTCTCTTCAGCCAGAAACAAAGAACTAAACCAGAACAACAACAAGGAATCTTGGCCCATCACAAGCAGTCGTGCTTTTGTATGCCTCACCAGGCTAAGGGCAGAGCAAGCAGAGCCCTCTGTGCAGTGTTCACATTTTAGAGGCCTAAAGGGGAGAGGAAGCAACCACAAGGAGGTGCTGTGATGAGGCCTCACCCTCTCTGTAAGTCAGCTTCTGGTTACATATTTGAATCATGAAGAATATTTTTTTTTTATAAATTCTTGGTGTTTCGCCTCAATATTCAGGGCTTTGTTATCTGAGGTCTAGCCTCATGTCAAAGTTCCAGAGCAGACACAAATACACATCCGCCCTTGGGGACCCTTTTGCCAGCTCACTGCCTAATCCTGCCCTCAGGCCACCATCTGGCTCCCCTCATCTGCTCTGATCCTGGTTTTGCACCCCACTGGATCATCCTTGGCCTCCACAGTGTCATCTTCACATGTGGCTAGCACTGTGCTTGCTGGGGCTAGCAAGCTAGTGCGAGCATGTAATGGCATTATCACCTTGATCCTTCACTGATGTGGGAGCAAACTTTCAGTTCTGTTCGGAAGGGCTACACTTTGCATCAGAAACAACAAACATGATTTTATCTTATGTCTAGAAGCTGGAGGTCCATGATCCAGTGTGGGCAGGGCTTCTTCGGGAGCTGGTCTCCATGTCTTCTTGAGCTGCCCATGTGTCTCTACATGGTCTTCCCTCTGGGAGTCTACATCCTCATGTCCTCTGAGAATAAGTGTAGGCACAGTGGACTCAGGTGTATGCTATGCGACACATTGGCACATTTTACTTCTGAGTTTATGTATGATGGCATGTTTCTATGTGTGTGCACTCTTGTATGTGCACACAGGTGCATATATAGAGAGACCAGAGGACAACCTCAGGTATTGTCCCCCAGGGGCCATTCATCTTATTTTGAGACAGGGTCTCTTACTGGACTGAGGCTGACTGATTAGGCTAGACTGGCTGGCCATAGAGATCCTAAAATCCTCCTATTTCTTGATTATAGGCATTATAAGTATGGACTGCCATACTGGCTTCTTCAATTTTATGTGGGTTCTGAGAACTGATGTTCATGTTTTCAAAGGAAGCCCTTTTCCAATAGAACTATTCCCCAGGATCACACGCAGTCTCAGACATTGAGAGTTAGAGTCTAACCATGCAAACTCTGAGAGCATAGTCATTCAGACAAAGGATCCTGACAAAGTGTCTGCATTGGCAGAGTGCACATGTCCTGGGGAACTCTCTTAAGCATATGCCTGGAAAATACAATGGAGAAATTGACTTGCCCAAATGTTTCTGGACCATCTTCTTTGGATTGCTTAGTCAAATGAGACATCACTTCCCAGGCCACCCCCTCCTCCATAGCTACACCGTGGGGATCACTAGCCTGGAGGATGTCCCTAAAAGCTTGCCTTCCATTCAGATGTTCCTGTCCGCATTATACCACTTTTCTCCAGGGCCTTGGGAAGTGGTAAGTCCTCCTGTATACTTCTGGCAGGTTCAGTAAAGGCTTCTGCTTCTTCTCTGGGTATTTTAAGGTAACTTATTATTTTTGTCTTCAAGTTCCCAGGCCCCATAAGGCCAAGGCTGCTGGATGAAACACATGGGTCTTCTTGTTAGTGGGAGATTAGATTTTTTTTCTTTATCTCACTCCCTGCATCTTTGGATTTTCATTTTTGCTCTTCTCCAAGTTTGACTATCAAAAGCTCATTGGTGTTTTTGCTTTGGAATTCTCCTTCTCCTGTCCCTACATCATTGCCTTGGATGAAGTCCAAGTTTTATTCCTAAAGGAAAGGTTCTGCAAGATTTAACCTCTCAACTTTCAAAGCTTCTCAGGCTTATCCCAAATGGCATAGTTCAGATGACACCCTTGTCTAGCAGGGTCTAACTTTGAGTTTGTTTTGCTTCTTTATGCTTTTTAGACATTTTTATCTATGCTGATCGAGTCCTCCAATTAATTAGTGGTTTGAAAAGTGTGTTTCAAGTTCTCCTCTTTATCCTTTTAGAAATCTAAGCTTAAAACATTAAGACCAAGACAACAACAATGAAATCAATCACAGTAAAGCTTCATTTTGAGCTACCTGGGGACATGGACCCTTCCCCAGCTTCTGACATTCAGTAGTTACACATCCAAAGTCCCCGTGAATGGCACTAAAGGAACATGATTGATGTTATTCTTTCCTGTCATTGTTGGAAGGGACCTGAGACCGTTTCTGGTTAGAGGTGACTCCAATGCAGGGGACAGAATTGAATAATCAGAATTAACACATGTGCTGGGGCCGAGCCAAGGTCAGCATGAATACTTCTGTGTTCAAGATTCGTATGTCCTTTGCTTCAGCCAGGCTGCTCGCCCAAGCTGTATTTCATTCCCTTTCATAACAAACATTTTTTTAAAATGAGCAGTAATATGGACGTTAGAAGTTTGAAACATTAGTGTCTTTCACGAGGCCGTGTAGTCTGCAGGCAATGGGGAGAAAGTCTCCCATAATGAAAGAGCTGGATTGAGTTTCCTGATGGCCAGCCCCTCTCCACTCCTAACAACCATCTGGATGTCTGCATGGAGGCCAGATTGCCTGTTATGTCCACCAAGTGAGCTGCCGTGCCCTGGAACAGCAACATAGAAAACAGCAACCCCAGAAGCCTGTCATCTCCCTGTCATCCCTGTGGCAATCAGCATTCTTCCAACTTTCAGACATTGAGTTCATCTCTGTGAATTTGGAGAGTGACAGCTGTGGAGAGCGTGGGGGCAGGTGGAGAGGGTCAGGCCGGCAGATGCATTTGGACAAGACTCAGATGAGGTGGTGAAGAGGCAGGGTTCCAGCTGAGGAAGCCACAAGGCGCCATCTCAGGGGTTCTCTGTACACTCACTTAAGAAAACAATACCTGCTTATTGGTTGAATAATAGTTTTCTTTCTCCACTTCACTTTATTGAATAGAAGGTGGGAGTTTGGGGCCCTTTGTGTGCTGCTCCAAGCTCTGCAACTCCTTCCCCCTTTGTTTCTGAGAATAAGCAAATCATGGAAAGGCTGAAAGTCTCTTTCTTTAAGAAACAGAGGTAGTTCTGGCCTGATATGTTGTTTGATTAGGGTTTGTCGTCTGTTCTGGATTAGTGGGTCCTCTCTTGATTGGAATGTGAGTGCCATGACTCTCAAGTTTCTTCCTAAGTTGTGATGATTTGTTGTGAATTGCCCGGCAGTGCTAGCCTTTCTAGAGCTGAGAGCTCAGCTACCAACACACACAAATATTTCCACACCTAAAACGGTAGCCACTTATCAAGTCAGTTGGAGGAATTTTGCATCACAGGTCTGAGTTTTATGCTTATCCATAAAATACCCTTCTTAAAAGCACACAGTAGAATATTTTTTGACACACTACTACACAGGGGAAAAACATCTAGCAGGTCATTTCATTTGTCTGAAAAAGTTTCTTTTTTTTATTAGTATTGTGATGACATATTACCACTAAATTGCCACAGAAAAGGAGATAGTGAATTCTCAAATAATTAAATAATGCAAAGTCAAAAGTCCCTAATTGACTTCAAGACTTAGCTTTCAATATGCTTTTTGGTTGAAATACAATGTGGGCATTGCAAGAATTTGTAGGTTTCTCAGGTAAAATTCTCATGAGTTAGGATTATTACTCCTTCTCGAAGCTGGGACAATGTACCTTGACAAGAGAATCTTGAGGAAGGGAGGAATTATTTCGGTAGTCCATTATGGAAGGAAGGCAGAGAGATTGCTGGCCGCAATGGATCTTCAGTCACGAAGCATAGAAAGAGGAATGCTGGGAGTCTGTTTCCTTTTTTCTTTTTACTGAATTTGGAACCCCACCCATGGAATGATACTGTCAATAATCTTTGTACTTCTACTTAACCTAATCTAGAAGCTCTCTTAAAGACACACCAAGAAGCTGGTTTCTAAATCCTACCACGTTAACAATCAAGTTGAGCCTCACAGGAGGAGGCTAACTTACTTATATAATGAAGACCTATTCTTCTGTTCCCTCACACTCATATACTGTATGGTCACAACATGCAGTTGCATACCAACACACAGATATATGCATGGATTTAAATAATTTTCATTATAGGGAGTTACAGATGTGATTGCCTACAGGTACTCTTCCATTTCAGCTGATAACCCTTCTTCAGTTTGACCTCAGGCATTTGGTCCGAGAATCCTATTATGCTGTATCCTTTGTTAAAGTGGGCTAGTCAGTCTCATTCTGTGGAATAATTGAATCTCATCAGAACAGCTATCTAGTGGCCAGGATGAGGATGGGTTTGTCTCTATCAACAGGGTCATTCTGACCCTAGAACTGCTCTAAAGTATTGAAGTAGAGAAGGCTGCTCTAGCTTCTAACTGTGGCACCACTGATTATGTCAGTCCTGAGTAGGACAATTGTGTGTCTGTGTGGCATTTGTTACTGAGAACTTTCAACAGGGCTGGTAAGATAACACCTGAGACCAGAATAGTGAGACAAAGTGGCTAACATGAAAAGAGAAAGCTGGGTAGATACACCTGGGGAATTGGCAACTAAATGCCGTGTTAGAGACTTGAGACTTGAAAAGTTTCCATTTGGATAGGAGAAGAAACAGGGGGAGATGAGGTCTAAGAAGCTGTTTGGGGGCAAGCAGGATATGTACTTAAACATGGAGATGAAGGAAAATGTTCTTGAACACAGGACTGAGGATGGTATTGGATGTAATGAGTTATTAAAGTACAAAATCTGAGGCATGAGAGAGAATCACTCATTTGCTAGTTCCATGAACCAGGGGCAATATTCCATAACTTTTAGTTTCCTCATCTCCAAAAGGAATCCAAATTACTGCTTCCCCCCCCCCCCCGAGGGCTGTAATATGCAAAACTATGCAAAACATTGGGAATGATGCCTGGGATCTGAGAATGTACTGAGTATTTGCTTATCACCGCCTTGCTGTTACTGCCAAGTTCTTCAGTTCTTAGGATGCAGGTTTGGTGGGCACTGTGATACAAACTCATAGTGCATTTCCCAATATGCCCATCAAGTGGCAGTTATACCAATCAATTCCTATGCCCATGAAGAACATACCTAGAGAAAAAATAAGGCAATGACAAAAGCTCCCTTATTCCACTGTTTCTAGAAGAAAATGTTATGTCAAACCCTGGAGCTGTGTAGGACAA